GTGAGCAAACAGCAACAGCACACTTCCAGTTAAGGTGGAATTATTAGACCCCGGTTGGATAAAACCACCAAAACATAAAACTCTTGATATTAAATAACATGACAAGTTCAGGTGTGAGTAATTCAAAGGTTAGGGTTTTCTTGGAAGTAAAGGAAGTACATGAGGGCTAATCATTTTGGCCTTGTCAGTTTCCATTTTTCTGTTTTACGTGTTATAATTCAGCTCATCAATACTATTTCTACCTATTCTGATCAAACTTGGTGGAGATTTTCCTTGTTCTTTTTGGAAGCAACAACAGGATGAACAGATGTTACTGTAGTAATTTAGTGTGTGATTTTCTAATAAATCTGAGCTATATGGCATGCTCATAGCTCATACCAGCCCAGGATAGTCTGGAAACCCTAAAACTCAGAAGCACTTTAACAAAAACAGAATGAGTGTGTTTGAACCATTAAGACCAGTGTCAATACAGTAAGCAAGGCCAAACTGCTCTCTGGTCTGGACCTGATCCTTCCAAAACACCGAGTCTTTTAAGCCAGATCACTCTGTCACTGACCCAGCATGGCTATTCCAACTGGCCCAGAGGAGAAAACCTTTGCTGTGATCCACGGAGGTCTCTACAGCTGTAGGAAAGTGGGAAGCAAGGCTAATATTTGGAAATATTCTACTGGACTTATTTGCTGAAGTTAATTTCTTAACTCCCCAGCTGCATTTTTAGTATGAAAGGCCTGGGTGTGTGGATGAGTGGTTTGGCTGGTTGGGACGGTCTGGCTCAGCTCTGATTTACCCCTCAAGAAGACTTCTCAAGTCCAAAGATTAGACAACTTCAAAAGTAACTGCAGGAGGGTTTAGGTGAGAAGAAAAGGACAAAACAAGTTACCAAGTCACCGCAAGCAACATGTTCCTGCACTAGAGGATTTTTTATTGAGTATATTAAGCAAACCATATTATTGTAGGAACATCACATGCTGTTAGGCACTAAAACCTTTGAACTAAATACAAAGTTTCCCATTTTGCTTTAACCCTCTGATGCATGAATTATGAAATCTTCAACCAAGATTATTTAAACAATTTTTTTCATTCATCTTTAAGTGTGAATGAAACAAATTTCAGCAAATATTTTTGTAACATTTTGTTAATTTACAAATAATTTATTACATGTCTACCTCAGTGGACAGCGTGCATTCTGAACATGAAATATGTTGGCTTGACTTACTGAAATCCAAATGGAGGGGCTCAAATGCAATAAAGTCTTCAACAGCTGTGCTTAATAGCAAAAATAAAGAAATAACAATTTTGAGTACCTGTCCACTGTAGTGACCATTATGCATCAAAGGGTTAACAGAACTGCCAAACTGAGGCCTAGCGTGTAATGAGGAGGGACAGTTTGCTTTTGTTGGGTTATGATGCCAGCTCATTGGTCTAGTGGTACAAGTGTCCACACTGAGACTGGGAGATCGGGGTTCAAATCCACAGTCGGGTCATACCAAAGACTTTTAAATGGAACCCATTTAAACTCCTATCCTATGAATAAACGAGTTAGATAAAAAAATGAAAGCTAAAAAAAAAAGAATGGTAAACGGTGAAGTCAGGGTCAACATCCTTAGCTGAGACTCCACCCAGGTTCTGTCGCTAATCTTTGCACCCAAAAACTCTCCTATTCTTTGTGTTAGAGAGGCATCCAGTGTGCATGCGTCAGTAAAGGCTGGGGAACACAGTAGACAGATGTGCTGTGCCACGGAAGCACTGCGATTTTGGGAATTCAAATGATCACACAGGAACCGCCGCGCTGCTGAGCTTTTCTTGGAAAGTCGAGCGAAAGTCACAACATCACATGGGACTTGAGAACAGGAAGCAGAAAGTGACTCCATTGTTTATACGTTATCAGACTTGCCGTTGTGTTTTGTGAGACTCTAATTAATTAAAAATGGGCAAGTACCAAGGCCCCACAATGCGGCTCTAAAATTGGGCCCAACCCGGAAGTACCAAAAATTGCAGTTCCACCCTCATCCACTGGGGGCTGGTGTCAGAAGCGAGTAAATCCTCATTGACTCCCATGTTAAAAATACCAATTTCACAGCAGAAATAAACATGTTTACAGCCTGGTACCAAAACATAGTTTTGGTTTAAATGATCTAGTTTACACTCATGGCAACTCTGAGGGGGTGATTTTTTTTCTCACTCTTCTGTTTAAGTGTATTAAAAGCCTAAAATTCTGTATAATTAATGAGCATCAGACCCACGTGAGCACAGAGCTAGCTCCGTGGAAAGGCCTCAGTAGAGCCTCGGTCTGGCTTGGAAACTGCTCCAGGATTTTGAGTCTCTGTGTTTGTGTATTCTTTTTTGGATATTTTTTGTACAATTGTTGGACAAAATGACTTGCTGTGGCATTAATTGCACTAATAGAGCATCCAAGGAGTCTCCACTTCATTTTTTTCGCTAAGTAAAATTATATTTATGTATTTTAGGTCACTGCCGAGCTGAGCTTAAATTTTAACATGTACTGTTTAACCATGAAATTTAAATGTAATAGGGTAAAACCCAGTGCATTTAACATAATGCTGCACTTTAGAAAATGGGTTGAAATATAACATGTTGGTGGAGCTGGGTTCCGGCTATCGGCTTGTGGAGCTCTCGGGAGACCTCTGTTTTCCACCCGTTCTCCCCTCCCCGCAGCTCGGCGCATCTCTGTCTGATCGCGGCTTCTGTCTGCTGCGCGGGCTGCCGGCTTGTGGAGCTCTGGGATGGAAACCTTTCCACCCGGTTCTCCCCAGCGGCAGCTCTGCGCATCTCAGATTGCAGCGGCGCTTGTCTGCTGTGCAGCTGCCGGCTTGTGGAGGTCTCGGAGACCTCTGTGTTCCACCCGGTTTTACCCAGCGGTCAGCTCGGCGTATATCTGACTCAGAAGCTCTGGTGTTGTGCACAGTTAACTCCGGTTGTAGCTAAGTTGCTACCTCCGTTAGCTTAGCTCCCACCTCCGCATTAACTTTGGGTTAGCTTGTAGCTAGTTCGACCGGGTGTCGTCAGTTGATCCCAGCCTTACAGCCCCACCCCTCTTCCCTTTTTTGGAAATGTCTGGGCTTGACGGAACCCGTGACACGGTCAAAATGGCGGTGGTGGCCACCTCCCATTTTAGTACAAAAACGTGATATTGGAGCCTATGAAAAGGAGATGTCCAGTATATTTATGTTGATAGTAAGTACGCTATATATTAGAATATTTTAGGATCAATACTTCAACAATAAAAAGCTCATCATCCATGTTTTGGCGACTGGGTTTGTGCCATAAAGCCGTTCCACATTGTAATGTCTGTCGTAAAGTACTCCAAAATGTAGTAAACAGCCGCGTCACGGCGCTTGAAATAAAACTGGTTCCTATCTTCAGTGCCTCCGTGTGGACCGGCGCCTCCGTCTGGACCGGCGCCTCCGTGTGGACTGGCGCCTCCGTGTGGACTGGCGCTTCTGGGACATGGCATTGTGCTCTCCGTGTAGCCACTCTCAGAAACTATAATGGCTTCTTTTTAAAATGACGGCGTGGGCGTAATGTGGCGTAGCGCATCTGTGTTCTGCGTGCCCCGGGCTTTATAGTGTAGGTCTATGGCAGAAATTGCTGCGCTTAAAGGAATGGTAAACATGTCACAAGATGATTTGGTCATGGTGAAAATGTGAGAGAAACATTTTTAAACTACACCTAAGGCACTTACATGATGTATGGATAGTTTATTTTTCATGTTTTTTTTTTTATATTTTATGATTCCCATGTTTCTCCCCTCCTTCCTGGTGTGGCGGTGCCCTAGCGCCCCCTATGAATGAGGTCCCACTGCATTATGTGCGTCCTTCTGGGCAGGATGCCTTTTATGGCGGTGTTTTGTTCCCGAACGCAGAAGTAATTTGTCAGAATATCCACTCGGGTACCGGTGGAGGTTTAAAGGGACTTTACGGAGTTTTGAATTTTTATGCTCACGATTGCCCCCTCAGGCCAAAAGCGTAATGGCAGCTTCAATAGTAGGCTCGTGCACGATGCGCGCATGCTGTACGTGTACACTCCTTAACGAAAATAACAGCTGAGATAGTCCCTTGAGTGTGTGTGTGTGTGTGTGTGTGTGGCCCGGAGGACAGAGGACAGGAGAAAGTGCAGCTAATTAATTAAATATTTTGGTTCTGTACCTTTCTCTTCAGCACAGCCGACAAAGGTTTATGATGGGTCAGTCCTCCTGCATGCTCAGATCATGCCCTTCCCTTGCTTGAAAAATAGTTCCAAAATGAAAGTTGAACCCACATCTTTTTTATCTGTGAATTCAATGCCGTTCGGTGAGTCTCAAATAAAAATTTGGGCATCTTACTGTAAAAAAATATACCATTCATGTAAAAACGAAACTCTAAACAAATTATCTTGACATCCAGAATTGAACCCAGATCTTCTGCACTAGAGTCCCACGTCTTACTACATGAGCTAAAGCACCAGTAATATATGATGTATCTGTAACATTTATATGCCTGATGACAGCTGAAACAAAGTTCAAAGAACGGTTCGGAGCAAAATGGCTATTTTGTTGCTAATTTGCAGGAAAAATCTAGAAGAAAGTTCTACAGAAAGTAGCTAAGGGTCCTCAGAAATGTAGCTAGCTTTGTCACTAGGCGTTAGGAACAGCGACAAAGACTAAAGCTACTGATAGCAAATGCTACGGGCGATGTCTGAGCGTGAACGCGCATGAAGCAGCCTGCTCGACCCAAGCAGCTCTCTTTTTCTGTGATTTTACAGAAAAACAGTCAATCACAGTAAAAATCCCAGGGCTCATTCCACAGGACCAGGGCATTGCAGGAGAATGTATGAAGAAGAAATTTATTATTTCTACACGTTTTGGCTGTCAAACTTCCATAATGCCCCTTTAAAGCAGTCATCTGTGACATGAAGGCCACAGACTAAAACCCGCTCAAGTGCAGCATGAAATCAACTGCTCTGTACTTGCAGCTAGGAGAAAATGAGTGTTTGTCACCTACTTCCAGGGGAGGCGAGTTTCAGATCCAAGAGTAGCTTCAGGGGGAGGAGCAGGGCCTGATGACGCACTTGGGCTACTTTGTCCAGTGTGCAGACAGGAACTTAAATTAGAAAATGAAGCAGGAATTCAAGCTGAGGCCGTAAAATGCATGAATGCTGCCAAAAAATAGTTTGGGGTATTTTTCATGACTAAAAGACAATATCACATGGTAACAAGCTCAAAAAAATATATTTTTATGTCATGAAAAATACACTTTTTTAAAAAAAGTTTATTTTTCAGCAAGATCTGGAACCTTATTGTTCTGAAGTACAGCTGGGCAATAAATCAACCTGATGAAATACTTCAGAACCTAACTAACCATAGTGTTCACTAGTGCTGATCAGAGAGATGATAAACGTCCATGAGAGGCAACAACTGAGAAACATTAGCTACATTTGTTCCCACCAGCAAAGATAAGTGTGTTGGATTTAGTTTTTAGCGTAAATGCAGCAGACTCTGTATCCACAGCAGAGATACCGTGGCTTCTTTCACCCCATCTGCTCCTCGTAGTCACAGGGTGACAGCAAAACCACGACCTGATTACCTGTTCCCTGAAACCCGTAATCACTGAAACCAGGAGACAGGCTCTGCTGGTCTGCTGACAGGAAAGATAATAGAAGATGACGCTTCATGCTGCAGTGGGCCTACTAATGAAATTTGAAAACAAACGGCAGGGAGGAGGCAGAAGGGGGTAAGATGAATGCCTGGGATGCTAAACATTTTCTACTAAACATTTACTTTTCTATTTGCTGGAGATAAAACACCCAAACATGGAAGCATGGAGACTTATTGTTAAAGCCAAGATCTCAGTAGGCCTAAAGTTTTAACAGCAGCTGCAGAGGAGCCACCAAACATTCATGAAGCTTCTTGCTTCTTCGTGTGGCTCAAAAGGTCTTGCTCCTATGCAACTGGAGATATGAGAAGGCTGAAAATTTAAAATAATCTCACTCATCATCTAAACAGCATATTCCTAGGGTCACAGAGAGGGAGCTGGTGTCTATCTCCAGCAGTCACCGGGGAGGCGACAGGTCTCCAGTCCATCTCAGGGACACACAAAGACAAACAACCAGTCTAACCTAGGGACAAATTCGTCTCCATTCAACCTGGCATGTGTTTGGTCTGAAGGAGGAAACCGAGGTACCCGGAGAAACCCCACACTTGCATGGGGAAAGCATGCCAACTCCATGCAGACAAGCTGCAGCTGGGATTCAAACCTGCAACCTGTTCTTCTCCGTGAGGTAACAGTGTGAACTAACTGTATCGCAGTCTGTTTTTGACCATTCTTAAAGACAGTTGTTATGCCTAACGCCCCACACAACCATACCATTCATCAAATATTCAGATGCAGCTGGGGGTAATCCAGATTCTGGGGCAACAGCTGCACACTACCACGTCTTCTGATTTCTCGGGCATTTCATGTGGAGAACAATCACTAAAACAAAGTCACGCATTATTTAGACCATTTCAGAACCAGACTCAGAGAGAAAAGCTGCATATGGACGGACATTCTCCAAACCAAAAGCGAACGGAGCAGACAGGTTTATCAAAATTCACTGCCTTTATGGTAACATAATAAAAAAGTGCATGAATCAATCTGAAGCCACAGGTTGTTTTTTTAAATAAGCAAATAGACCCCAAAACAGTTGCCATTGACAACAATGGCCAGGGATTTTCTTTTCTCTTTGGAAATTACTGGAAAAATCTCATCTTAGTTTCTCCACAACTTAGTCAGCATGAAAGGGCTTTGTGTAAATATTTGCAAATAAAAGGAAAAAGGATATGTAGCCTTCTGCATTTATGAAATATATATATATATTAAATGTCAGGAAAAACGGGCTAAATTACTGTGACAAATAAAAACTAAAAGTAATGGATAGTGTCATATGTTGACAAACTGTTAATAAAAGCAGCTGTTTAGAGCAGCAGGGTGGCTAAAATGTTTTATGTCGCTAAGTGAACTAATCTGGGTGAAATGATGCCGCAACCCCGCTTTATGAACTCACCTCGCTGCGCTCCGGAGCTCCTGAAACAGCGGAGAGTCCGCTATCTGTTACAAACGCTGAGAAACCTCAGCTCCTCCCACCGACACTTCTGCGCATGCGCAGCAGCAGCGAACAGCCTGGACACCGTACAGCGCACACCACCACCAAAGCTGGTTACTGATATATTAAATTAAATTAAACCTCCACCGGAACCAGAGTGGATATTCTGACAAAATACTTCTGCACTGGAGACAAAACACCGCCGTAAAAACTACGTGTCCTGTCCACGTGGCCAGCACAAAGGTGTTTTTTTTTCTTTTTGATGGGGCGCATTTTTAACAGGTGTTGTACCGAAAAGAGCATGCCTGCCGAGATTTGCATGCCCTGCTGTGGGAAGGTGCAAATGAGTAACGAGGCAGCTTTTTTAAAAATAAATTTGTACTTTTAACATGCTTCTTATTCATTTACTTCCTTACAAAGCAATGGTTTATGGGCAGATAAATTAAAAAAATTGAAGTCTATTGGAAAATGGTTGGTAATTTTGAGTTACATCCATATGTGTGTGTGTGTGTGTGTGTGTGTGTGTGTGTGTGTGTGTGTGTGTGTGTGTGTGTGTGTGAGTGTGTGTGTGTGTGTGTGTCTGTGTGTGTGTGTGCGTGTGTGCGTGTGTGCGTGTTTGCGTGTGTGCGTGTGTGTGTGTGTGTGTGTGTGTGTGTGTGTGTGTGTGTGTGTGTGTGTGTGTGTGTGTGTGTGTGTGTGTCTGTGTGTGTGTGTGCGTGTGTGCGTGTGTGCGTGTGTGCGTGTGTGTGTGTGTGTGTGTGTGTGTGTGTGTGTGTGTGTGTATTAGTCTCAAACGTGTTTAAATGAAACATGTCAAAAAATGTAACTATTTAATCAATATTTCATCATATTTCTAGTACTAAACAAGTGTTTTTAAGGAGAAAAAGAAAATAGAAACGTGTTCATATTATGAATGTATTAAAAATAGCCTCATCACTCATAATTCTAATTTACTTCTGTCAATTTGCGCTTATGGCAACATGGTCTGCAAATTCTTGTTTACAAATGCACTAATCACATGTCACCACTAGGGAATGCTAAATTACCATTCTTGGGCGTCAAAAATAACAACAAATTTGTTCCTAAAGCATGCATAATACTCACCAGTAAACGCAAACTCAGCCGCAAATAAAAGCTTATTTCATGAAGTCAAAGCGAAAATCCAGTCTTACCTTTACTGATTTATGGTCTCAATAATCTGTTACAATAAAAAACAATCCACTTGTTTACCTGCTGAAGAGTGTGTTGTTTACCCCCTTGTTCGAGTCATTTGATTTTGAGAATCTGCCAATACTGAGTCCCAATCCGATATTATTGATACATAAAAAAGAAGTACAGAAAGCAAATAAAATGACCCAGAATGTTCTTTATGTTTTATTTACTTTATAAAAACAACTCTGTTAACAAACAGCACTTATTGGAGGTAGCTTGAACAATCAAGTAATACATGACATAAAATCTTCACTTTTGGGGTTTAGTGCAAATAGAAAAAGTCTAATATAAAAATAAATAGCAGCTCAACTTAAAACACTGAGCAGGTGTCTATTTTGCCTTGTCCCCCAAAATGCCTTGATACGGCCCTGGCGTGGAATTGGGTTTTGAAGGTGATCTCAATTGTATCAATTATATAAATATTACATGCTGACAAATTGTTGCTTTATACAGGTAAAACATGTACCCAGCCAGCTGGGGCCCATATGGAATATATAAGGGCAAGCAGTATGGGTCCCCAAGGGTTTGTCTGTGGTTTCCATGGTGGCCCTACAGTTGTTAGCCCAGAAAGATCTTTGCCCACATAGATTTTAAAAGGCCCCATGGGGGTTTTCAGATGGTTTAGAATCATTGTGGGCAAACCGCTGTGGGGCCACTGTGGAAACTGTGGACAAACCCTGGTGGGACCCATATGACTTGCCCATATATATTCCATATGGGGCCCACCTATGTGTGCTGGCTGGGTGGTGAGGAAAATCCACCTACATTTTGTTTTTCAAGAATTTGTTTTGTTTTCTTGGTTTTTATTTTCCTATCTTCCTGTCCTGTCTGTCTCTGATCTTCCCACATTGCCTCATTTATATGGTTGATCACCTCATTTATATAATTTATCAGCAAAAAAAGTTGATTTGGAGGTGACTTGCTCTTTAAATAAAATGTTTAGGCGAGATTTTTAGATGCTCAGTATCCCACCATAGCACAATAACTGAGGTCACTGATTAAAAGTGTGATGAAGCTGATGAAATGTGCCATCCGTGGTGTTCTGGTGCTCACCAAGGACTCTGCTGATAAAAATGTGAGCACATTTGACAAAATTTCCAAGATTATCAAGTTTTGTTTTCCTTCTGTGACAACTACTGTCTTCTCAAGTTTTCCATTTCCTTCATTCGTCACTGACGGCGTTGACCTGAAACTGAGGGAAAACAATGTCACTACAAAACAATGGACTCAGCTATAAACCTCAGTATGCCACTGTTGTGCAAAAAATATCAGACTTTTGCAATAAAAACCCACAAGATAACACGTGAGATGAACCTGAGAAGAGTTATGTAAAGGCCAAACAATTTACCACATTGCTGCACAAGCTATTACATCTAAAACATGGAGAGAAATCCAGTTCAAAAGATCTGTGGGTGTACAATAGAGCTGAGGGAATCAATCTAATAATCCATGCATCGATTTGCTGACAAATGATTATGAATCACCTGAACAATTGATTCTTATGTAAAAGTTTGTTTTTTTAGTGCTAGTGTCTACAGGAGTGATTCATCACTAAATGAAACAAATCAGCTTTGCTTGTAACGGGTGTCAATGGTACCAGAGTCCAGGACCCGTTGACGGAAGAATAAGCTGGAAAGCAGGAAATAAAATGAACACACGGGAGATGTCGTCTGGTTTCCTTGGCAATCTCTCAGCTTATATTAAACAAACCAATCCATCATAACAGTCAACATTTTCTCACGTATAATTCAGCATTCTAGACATATTCTAATGTGTACAAATACAAGACACAATAACATTGGCTCTTCATCACACGATCTATTCATTACTAAACTTTAAATACATTTATAGTCACCTGTTATGAAACATTCAATGTGTGTGTACTAAATTGTTACATTGAAACAACCATAACTGATCTCTAATTTAATCCAAACCACTTAACTAGCATACATTCAACCTGGGTTTACAATCAGTATACATTCCAACAGTTTTCTTAATTATGCACTAAATAACCGTCCATCTCAACTGAAACAATCATGTTTAGGAAAATAAGAGACGAATTACTGATTAACTTTAAAGTATCAGACATGTTCCCCACATTCATTCAAAAGTCCGTTTAACGGTTCAACAGTGTGGGCTGTTCTGGTCGTCAAACAGATAAATCACAAAACTCTCATATTAAAATTCATCCTCAATAGTCATTTGTTTCCTGCAGTAACTTTAAATAGTTGTGAAAAGTGTTTCTAACGTAGAAAGCAGGAAATACAATGAACACATGGGAGATGCCGTCTGGTTTCCTTGGCGGGCGGTTTGCGCAGCCAGTGACTCCCCATGCCACCTACTGGTGTAACGCTGTTACTGCATCTGCGGGTTATTTACAGTTTTTTTTCAGCCATTTTGCAACAATTTTCACCACACTGATGTCTTTTTTACAACTCTAGACACAAAACTCATAACGGTCATCACTTGTAGCACAGGCTGTCAAAACACTGCATTGTGCATTCACACGTTTAAAGACATCTTGCACAAACATTGGTTCAAAAAACTAATTTACTGTGAAATACCATTGAAACAAAACTCTAGATCACCCACACACAGGTAACCCATAGTTTCAATAAGTCATTGTTTGAACAAACATTTAATATTGTACAACAAAATCGGTGATGCAGGTTTCATAATTATAGTTTTTATATGCAAAGTAAAAGTAGAAAATGTTTTTCTGCACAATTAAATTCTTACTTTGCTGCTAACACTAGATGCCACAACAACAAAAAAAAAGCGGAAACAAAAAGATCTACGCAAATCTACAAGCTTCTAGCTCCACCTTGCAGAACAAAATCACATATGGTACTACACAGTCCACAAATCTCTGGGAAAATACTGCAGTAGTAGAGAGAATACTACAGAGGGAGTGGAACCAGTAAACACATTATGAAATGTACAGATCCAAAATGCCACAGTTCAATCATACTGTAACATAGGTTTATTTGAATCAAAGTAAAAATACAGCAATTACAGTAGTTGTAAAAACAAAAACAAAAGCTGTGTTTCTCAGCCTTCTATCTTGTACTGTAACCAAAACAGTGATTACTCTACTTCTGTATGCTCGTTAACTGTGTTGTGGATTTGGCCACAGGTTCTCGACCACCTCTCAGATGGCAGCCCTGTCCTTCGCCATTTCTTTGACCAACGCATCTTCCTATTCATACTCCTCCCACCACTGCTTGACCTCCATTGTAACCTGGCTCCAAATCTCCTCTTTATAAAATCATTCCATAATGGGCATCCACTCATCAGTAACGAGTAGGCAGAACTGGATAGCAAATTACAAATGAACCCACTGTTGGTCTTTATTCATGCAGCATTGAGAGTATTGCAACAGTTACTTATCATTTTGAGTAGTTGTATCAGTTGATAGTTAGATCATTGAGGGGAAATGAACAGACTCTCATTTGAAATGTAATGAGTGGATTGCTTTTAGAAATAGTAGTACTTTGATGTTAAGTTGTGTCAAATTGAACAGGTAAGTTTTTTTCAATGAACCAATGATCTAAGTTTTATGTGTGTTGTATCAAAGCAATTGAGAAAAGGGTTAGAGTTCTGAAAAATAGGTGCTTTTTGATCATTCGTTGTGAGTTTTGTGTATAGAGTTGTGAAAAATGACATCAAGGTTGTGAAAATTGCAGCAAAGCGATCGAAAAAAAAAACGGTATTAGTTACATTTTACAGAGAAAAACTAATGTGACCCAAACCTCAAATGCATTCAACAAAAACATAAATAACTTATTATGTGGGCACACAAGTGGACCTCACATGTTCATGGTCTAAAACATGCAGGAAATGTGCTGGAAGCAGACTGCAGTAGCAGCTATGTCCGCTCCTGTTTAAGTCCCAAGACTCCCAACAGAGCTGATTTGTGTGTGTGTGTGAGTAGATTTGTGTGTGTGTGACTAGATTTGTGCGTGTGTGACTAGATGTGTGTGTGTGTGTGACTAGATTTGTGCGTGTGTGACTAGATGTAAGGCCGCTAGCGTGTCTCGGCAGCTTTGAGTCAGCGTTCCACACGCAGAAGAGATGAGGCTGGGTCGGCAGAGATGGGACGGGGTGAGGCTGGAGAGGGAGCTTGCAGGTGAACAGCAACTGCTGTTTCAGATTTCTCTGACGAGGTTAAAAAGTCAGATTCTCCTAGTTTGTGCTCGCCGCCGTGTCCTGATGGTAAATACCTTTTACCATTTTATCCATGAAGCCCTTCCTGCAAAACTTTTGTTTTCATATTTACTGAAATTTCCACAGTTGAAGATATTCTGTGGTTGCAGAAACAAAAGCACACATGTGCAGCCGTTGACTTCACACAGAATTTATTTTTTGCATGGTCATTATGTCATTTGATGCACTAATATGGGGCCCGTGGCACATTTAACCAACATTATAACCAAGTTAATGTCACAGTATGTAAATAAATATGTTTTAAAAATACATAACAGACCACAGATGAACAATAATTCAAGCATAGTTTTTTCCAGTACACTTGTGATACAAAAACACTAATATATATACAGTTTACAATAAAAAACTACAACTAAAATGGTCGTTTCTTTTGTTTCAATAACAAATCTAGTTACTGTCATGATTAACGTAGTCATCTGGTCAACAGAACAGTCATGGTGTTACAGTGAGGATTGCTGCTTAGTGCTGTTATGTATTTAAAGTGTTAGCAGCCGTGAGGAGTGAGGAGAAGAGAGAATCTGGTCTTTGAGTCAGTTCTTCTGGAGGGTCCAGTTCTGCTGCCTGGTGGACAGAACACACAGAGTCCAGGTTAGGAAACGCAGTAATCATGGTCTACGGTTCCATGACTGCTACAATCAAAACTGTGAGTGATTTAATGCGACACAGCTTTATCACGTTTAGGTGCAGAGAAGTAGAAAATACTCTACTTGGACGGCCCCACTGTAAACATGAAAGCTTTACTATGTGTTAGTAATGTAATACACATTTGAAGTAATGGAGGACCTAAACTGAGAGGACAACACATGCAACTGGCTTTAAATCCAAAAGGTTTTAGGTCTCATCCCAATGCAAAACAAAAAGCTGTTAGAAAACAGATGTATACTATAATAAATGTTTTTGGAGTGTGCTGTTATTTCAAGTTTCACCGTCAGGATTGTCCTCAGGTCATCGTGCTCTGGAGTCCTTTAATTATTTATTTTTAGTGTTCTTAAAGTTGTGAGTTGATGAAGGAAACAGATTTCTGGAGTGATGGTGAGAGGAAATGCTTGTGAAAGGGAAACTGGTATCCCCACACGTTCATGTGCAGCTCCTAAATGGTACATGTTTGCTGCTCTCCTTTGCATAAATTCCAGCATGTTCTGGAGATGGACCATGAGTGTTTTCATCAAATGTAAAGAATGTATTCACCAGAAAATGAACTTAATCCTGAAAACCTATTTCCAATATATTTATGAAGAAGGCTTCAAGATGCTCAAGAAAGTCCAAGCGCACCAGGACCATCTCCTGAAGCTGATCCATCTGTGGGATGGGAGCTCCACCATAGCACATGTTCAGTAATGTCAGCAGCAGCTGCTGTGAGGCCATCTGCAGGACGGCTAGATGTTAATGTGGGCAGTAAAGAAGCCACATCTCTCCAAGAAAACCATCAGGGACGGACTGATGTTCAGCTACAGGCCCAGGGATTGGACAGCTGAGGACTGGAGGAAAGTCATCCTCTCTGATGAATACTCTCTGATTGTTCGGATCATCTAAGAGAAGCTGAGCGCTCCCATCAATCTTGTGTCCGCCAACAGGAAAGCATCCTGAGACCATTCTCAGTGTGTGTGTGTGTGTGTGTGTGTGTGTGTGTGTGTGTGTGTGTGTGTGTGTGTGTGTGTGTGTGTGTGTGTTGAGGGGGTCTCCTCAGCCAAGGGAGAGGACTTCACAGTGTAGCATCCAGAAATGGTCAGTTTTCATCTATATTTTGGCCTTTTCAGAGACGGATCATCTTCAGACATTAATCTGCCTATGTGTGTCTTCTAATCTTCCGAGCTGCAAGAAAGATTCTACAGTGCGTGTTGACACTTAGATTGTCAACATCGTGTTCCGTCCTCAAGGACTCTCTGCCGAGCTGCGGCTTATCTATACCTTGCTTCACGGAACAAAAGATGAACTTTTATAATGAAATCATATAATGAAATGAACAATATGGTTAATGAAATCGGATAATGAATGGACAAGGTGTTAAATTAAATGTTTTGATTAATCTGTGCTTAAATTAATAAGGATGAAATGAATGTGTTCTAGCAATGACTCATTTATTTTAATCAGTGTACGTGACTGGACAAGCTCACACACACACGCATATCTCCATGACGCAAGGTTAAAGTAAGCTCATGCACATAGAGATTTTCTTATCCACAAATCAGAGCATCTTTTGTATCTGGAAAAGGCGTGTGTTCTGAGGTTTGTTTGTTAACACCTCTTAACCTCTTTTGTCCTGGTTGGCCATGTAATCATAATATGGGAATTATTAAAACAGAAATCACTTCCTGAGTGATTCAGTTTCGAGTAGACCTTCGGCGTGGCCAATCCGGAAGAACTCTTTGAACCATTAAAGCTTTTGACAAGCCGTCAAAGCTGCCTGCAGCGACACAGCAACTTGGTTCTTCAGCTATTCAGAAACAGCTATTCTAGACGCAAACAATTTCATCTATCGGTTGTGACTCAGAGACATCTCAGGACTGATTTGGTCGCATCGAGGTTTTCCTACGAGCCACGCGCATTGGGGTCACCCGACATCTCGGATCTAAACGGGGGTCTCCAAGAAACGGGTACGTAGGCACGACATGAATTGCATCTGATGCCGTTTTGATCAAATCAATTCTTTAGCTTATAACAACAACAAATTCTTTGACACCCAGAATTAGGTGGGCAAAAGAGTTCGAGTTGGGCTGCATGGTGGTGCAGTGGTTAGCACTGTTGCCTCGCAGCACGAAGGTTGCAGGTTCTAAACTCGGCTGCGGCCTTTCTGTGTGGAGTTGCGTGTTCTCCCCATGCATGCGTGGGTTCCCTCCGGTTACTCCGGTTTCCCCCACAGATCACAACATGCCCTATAGGTTATAAACTGTAAGTCGCTTTGGATAAAAAGTGTCTGCTAAATGAATAAACATAAACATAATTAATAATTTCTTTCCGATACAAAGGTTCTGGTAAACATCTATTCTACACTATATCACTTCACACATCACATTTCATCACCAACACACACTCCAACACACATCATTCTTTCATAGTTGTCATGTATTATAATTTGTTTAGAAAATAAATTTCTTACTTTTTATAAAGTTGACTTTGTCTGAATTAATACGAAGTGTATTTACGGTCCCTCCACAAACAAAGAATCCTAATTCTTCTGGTTAAACCTTCGAAGACCAATCAGGTTGGATTTCCATATTTATATAGAAATTCACATCTTATGGGTCATAAGTAGTATAGCATATTGAGCGTAAAAGCACACATATCATTCACTACAACAGTTTAGCCTCAGAACAACTGTGAATACAGAATGGTACCTAAACCTCCTCCCAGAGGAACTCCTCTAACCATTCAACAACAGTTTGGTGATGAACCATGTCTTCTCCAGTATGATGGAGGACTGGGTCAGAAGGCGATTCAGGAACAGAACATCAACATGTTGGGTCCAGGACTGGAAAACTCCCCAGACCTTACTAATAATGGTCCATCCTCGAGAAGCACGAGGACAAACAAAAACACACAAATTCTGACAATCTCCAAACACTGATGATGAAGATGAGCTCCATCAGTCAGGATCTGGACCAGAAGTTGACTGACAGCCTGTCAGGGTGAGCTACAGAGGCCCAGATGGACCAACACTAGATATATTGACTTGTTGCATACTGTTGATGTAACACTTTAAAAACATTAAATGTGTTTAATACTACCTCAGACACCATAGAAACACCAAACAAAACATCTACAAACACAATCTGAAAAATCTGCTCTTGTGTCGTTTACTAAATATTTGTTCACAGCTTTAGAAATACTCTCTTTTTATTACCTTTCCATTTTCCATGACTAGAATACGATCTGTGTGCATCACAGTGTTGATTCGATGTGCGATGGTGAGCATGGTGCAGTCGTGGAAGGCTTCTTTGATAGTGTTCTGGATCAGAGCGTCTGTCTCTGCATCGATGGAGGCCGTGGCCTCATCCAGCAGAATAATCTGTCAGATTAAGAAGGAAGGGGGTTGATCATTTGGGTGGTGAAGCTGTCAGATAATAAGTGTGATGTACAGAAACAGTCTGGCTAAAAAATCAAATCCAACATGGGAGTTTCACTTTATTTTGCTGCACATCAGCATCGGTTTAAAAACATGCAAACAAAGACAAACATAACAGCGCGTGAGCACAGAGACCTTGGAGTTACGAAGCAGTGCTCTAGCCATACATATTAGTTGTCTCTCGCCAACCGAGAAGTTTTCCCCATTCTCCAAAACTCCAGCCTGCAGCTTCCCCTCCAGCCTGGAGATCTGAGGACATATGAAGCATAAACCACAGGCTGTAGTTTGGTGAACATGTCGACCCATTTAAGTGACTGATGCATAACTTCAGAAATGGATGTGATTATAGAAATGACTTGAGCTAGTGAGACAAAACAGAAGAATAACTCTGATTTAGGCCGTCTGTAACTAAACGACACTGCTCAGAAAATAAAGGAAACACGTTAACAACACTATGCAACTCCAGGTCGATCACACTTGTGTGAAATCAAAGTGTCCACTTAGGAAGCAACGCTGATAGACAATCAGGTTCACTGCTGTTGTGTATATGGAACAGACCACAGTGGAAATTATAGGCGATTAGCAAGACATCCCTAATAAATAATAGCAGGAGATGGAGTCTACAATCCACACAAGTGGCTCAGGTAGCTCATCCAGGATGGCACATCAATGAGAGCTGTGGCAAGAAGGTTTGCTGTATCTGTCAGTGGAGTGTCCAGAGCATGGAGGTGCTACCAGGAGACAGGCCATTACATCAGGAGACGTGGTGGAGGCCGTAGGAGGACAACAACCCAGCAGCTGGACCGCTACCTCCACCAACGTGCAAGGAGGAACAGGAGGAGCACTGCCAAAACCCTCCAGTGGGCCACAAATGAATGTGCCTGCTCACAAGGTCAGAAACAGACTCCGTGAGGGTGGTATGAGGACCTAATGTCCACAGGTGGGGGACGTGCTTACAGCCCAACACCGTTGCCAGAGAACACCAAGACTGGCTAATTCACCACTGGTGCCCTGTGCTCTTCATAGATGAAAGTAGAGTCACACTGAGCACGTGTGACCGACGTGATGTTTGCTGCTTGCAGCATGACCGGTTTGGCAGTGGGTCAGTAACGGTGTGGGATGGCATTTCTTTGGGCGGCCACACAGCCCTCCATGTGCTCACTAGAGGTAGTCTGACTGCCATTAGGTACCGAGATGAGATACTCAGAACCTTGTGAGACCACATGCTGGTGCAGCTGGCCCTGGGTTCCTCCTAATGCCAGATGCTGCTGGACCTCACGTGGCTGGAGTGTGGCAGCAGTTCCTGCAAAACAAAGGCATCGATGCTGTGGACGGGCCTGCCCGTTCCCCAGACCTGAATCCAACTGAGCACATCTGGGACATCATGTCTCGCTCCATCCACCAACATTACACCACAGATTGTCCAGGAGTTGGTGAATGCTTTAGTCCAGGTCTGGGAGGAGATCCCTCAGGAGACCATCCACCTCCTCATCAGGTGCATGTCCAGGCATTTTAGGGAAGCCACACACACACACTGAGCCTCATTCTGACTTGCTGTAAGGACATCACAGCTGGATCAGCCTGTAGTGTGTTTTCACACTTTAATTTTGAGTGTGACTCCCAATCCAGACCTCCATGAGTCGATAAATTCAATTTCCATTGATAATTTTTGTTTGATTTTGTTGTCGGCACATTCACTTCTGTGAGGAACAAAGTATTTATTAAGAATATTTCATTAACTCAGATCTAGGATGTTTCATTTTTGTGTTCCCTTTATTTCTTTGAGCAGTGTTTTTTGTTTTTTCCCACTGAATCTCAATAAGTTATGTAGCAAAAAACCAACTCAGCCATTGCCGTTCATCAGACGGACACAGCGGTGCACTGTGGGTCCCAGCGGTTGGTGTTTGTTAAGAGAACATTACAAGCTGAACAGATGTACAGCAGCTATTTGGTTCTAAACATCCTCACATGTCGTTGGAAAGTCACAAAAACCCGAGCCAACAAAATACAGGACCTAATGGGATAAAGTAAAGGTTTGAGTTAAGCCAACACACCGACTCCTTCATGTAGGTCTTCTGCAGAACCGTCCAGATCTCCTCATCAGAGTAATTATCAAAGGGATCTAGGTTGTACCTGCGGACACACACCTGGGTATCATGTGACTGAGCCAAAGCAGTGAGAATGTGACCTGGTGAGTTTTCCAGTCTTACCTGACGGTGCCAGTAAACAGCACGGGGTCCTGGGGGATGATGGACAGCTTACTGCGTAGGTCCTGTAGGCCGATGTCCATAATGTTCACTCCGTCTATAAGGATGGTTCCTGCTGTGGGCTCTACCAGTCTGAACAGAGCTACACCCAAAGAGGACTTTCCTGTAGACACATATAATGGAGGGAAAGTTGAAATGCACACAGTCACCGTGAACTGTTGTGTTTTTGGGACATAGACAAACTATCTACTTGAAGTCCTCCATCCATTTCCATTTGAAGATTTGGACATATGGACCAAATCAAAGCCAACGATGAAGCAAACATTTTTACCCTGAATAGAAAATCTGTGGCCATCTCCGAAGGTGGGTGTGTTTTAGAGGAATGCACCAACTAAATTCATGTCTTCAGTTTAGTACTGAAAATCTTACCAGATCCAGTTCTTCCCACAATGCCGAGTTTCTCTCCAGCCCGTATCGGGAAGTGGAGCCCGTTCAGGACGATGGGTGTGTTCTCTCTGTATCTCATCTTGTAGTCCTGGAAGGTGATGGCTCCATGTTTGGGCCAGCCCTGTGGGATCTGAGCCTCCTTCACATGCCTGGGGGCCTCAGACTTGCAGCTCTGCAGCACAGTTTAAAAAGTCTTAGAAAGGGATTACCCAGCCTCTCAAGAAGATCTGGACTGATGGACTGGTACCAGGAGAAGGGGTTCTGACCGTGATGTACTCCAGCAGTCGTTCCACTGAGTTGAACCGTGCCTCCACCTCCGTTGACTGTCTGACTACATACTGGAGCAAGCCTGTCAGCTGGACCAGAGGAAACTCAGTAAATGCTGTAACAGATGTCTGAAACAAATAAACACCAGCTGTTGTCTGACTGTTGTCTATTTTTACCTGTATGGTGTAAGATATGGCCAGCCCCTTCAAGGCCGAGTTGATGAGCTCATTACTGCTGAGTACCACAAACAGAGCCACCATCAACGTAATGGTAGCAGCCATGAAGTCCAACCAGAAGGAGAGCCAGCGTGTTCCAGCATGGAACAGCAAATAGTGGTTGGAGTTGATATCGTTCAGAGACTTAAACCTGCAGAGAACAGCAAAGAGCTTGCTGACATGTTGCTTCAACCAAATAAAACAGCTTGTCTTGGTTTGACGAGGCATGGAGAAGCTTATTAAAGCCTCTCAGGAGAAAATTCATAAGGATTAAGTGTCCAGATTAAAGCTGGAATGATACAAAAACACTCAAAGACATTTTGAGATGAAAGAGAATCAAAAGCTATTCATTCAACTCAATTCAAGTTTATTTATATAGCGCCAAATCATGACAAGAGTCGTCTCAAGGGACTTCACATCGTAAACATTCCAGTACAGGTCATTTCATTAAGCCAATCAGTAAAAAGTTTCCTGTATAAAGAACCCAGCAGGTTGCATCGAGTCACTGACTAGTGTCAGAGTCTTTACAGCAATCCTCATACTAAGCAAGCATGCAGTGACAGTGGAGAGGAAAACTCCCTTTTAACAGGAATAAACCTCCAGAGGATCCTGGCTCAGTATAAGCAGCCATCCACCACGACTCAACTAAAATAGGACTACAACACCCATCATGCACTGTGTCAACAAACTGCCATGACTTTAGCTGATTTTAATATATAAATAATAACTTTTTTTAAAACACCATAAGTTGTCTGAAGCTTTTTATAATCTATGAAAAAAGATCCAATCATTCCCAGCAGTTTAGGCTGTAGGGGAACAAGAATAACAAAAAAAAAAAAAACTCCTGAAGAAGTTTTTAAAGGGACCTGCCCGCTGATACAAGATAGTGGCCATGTGTCACAGAAGCCCATAATCATGTTTTTAGGGTGCCAGCGGGAAGATAAACCGAGAATCCGGATACTGAGGTGATCACCCAATAGTCATCATAATGGGGTGATCACCCAAATTTGGTAATCAACACTTCCCATGGCAGAGCCAGTCATTTTGATGTAACATGTGTGGGGGTGCACGCTGTCGTTTGAACACATGCATAATGGCTTTGGGGTGACCATTTAATAAATTATTAAATTATTATTATTGTTTACATATTTAATGATTAATTATACATACATACACACACTCAAAAGGAAAAAATGCTTGATGTATATATATATATATATATATATGTGTGTGTGTGTGTGTGTGTGTGTGTGTGTGTGTGTGTGTGCGTGTGCGTGTGCGTGTGTGTGTGGTATATACACATCTGTTACACTGTGTATTCACACATCCTACTCTGCATTATCACTGCATAATTTTAGAAACATTTGAATAACTAGTTTAACTACATTGAACTGTTTTGTAATCATTTATTCTCTCGTTCTGGAGTAAAGAAACAGGCTAAATCATATCAGCAAACAACCTCTGAGTTCATCCCCACACAGGGACGCTGCACGTGACGTTTACAATCGTCTCCATTCTCCAGTAGGCTGTTGATGTGAACAGAAAACGTGTTTGACTCACGGAGGCTGCTGGTCTCCTGCTGGAGCAGAGCGCGCCGGGAATGAGCTCCAGCGGTACGGAGCTGTTGGGAACACCGGCTCCCGGACCGAGCCGAATACTGACGCAACACCGGTGCGCAAAAGTGCGGGGTTCAGAGAGGAACAGGCAAGGGCGTCAGTTTGTTTCCAGAATTGCTGGGGACAATAACCATACACTTGAGTGGGGTTTAAAAATTGCTGGGGACAATAAAGTAGGCTAGCAAAGGGGTCGGCGGCTCTGGAGCCGCATGCGGCTCTTCCATCCATCTGATGCGCTCTCTGTGCTCTTAAAATAATGAATGGATGTTTAAATAAAATGCTTTATATGTTACTGCATTAATTTTACATCTGTATGCCAATTCTAAATGTAAAGATTGTCTGCGTAAACCTGAACAGGTCCAACCCGGTCTTACTGTGAGACCGGGTTGACGCGTCACGCTTGTGCGTAATCATATCGGCGCTTCTGAGCTGGAGGATGTCAGATTCTGGGCTTCTCCTCAGACAGGTTCCTGGATGCGTCGCCACATTGGAGACAGGAACAAGCACTATTCAGCCAAAGTTTCATAATCAGGTGTGGCAGTGTGAGTGTCCTGTCACAGTGTCCCGATAGATAATGCGCCCTGGCTACTTGGCCAAGGGGATGTCCCTTTGGCTGACTGGTTAGAGGGTATGACTCTCACCCGGGAGTCTGGGGATCAAATCACGCCCGGGCCCTCGTTTTTCCACCTTGCCACATATTGACGGATAAATGCGATAAGATTTCCTCCCACTGAAGCGTTCTGGAAACCCGGTCTCTCTGAGGGATGTGTCACTTGGAAAAATGTTCTTTTTATGAAATTATGAAACTTTGGCTGAACAGCGCTTGTTCCCGTCTCTAATATGGAGACGCATGACGCGTAGAGACATTTGATCACGCACAAAGTTTATGTGGAGCAGAAGCGGTCGGGCCACGGCAGGTGGAATGTTCCTAGCCTACATGAAGTCAAACTGTTTAATTGTAACATTAATATGTTACTGGACACGCTGGTCTGGTTGGTTAGACCAGTGTTTGAAGTGGAAAACACACACACACACACACACACACCAATTAAAATAATGCTGATAGCATGGACTGGAAGCCAGGTGATAGTTTACGTATTTAAATGATGATCAGGCTGCTGTAAAATGTAATCTCCATCCACATCCAGACAGAATCATCCTCTATTCTTTCTCTATTTGCTCTGCTCTTGTCTGGGCTGATCAGCTGATGGCGCGCCTAACTAGCGGCTGATGCACATTTTACGCATTTGGAGAGGTGGACTGGATGCTTTGCGTTTACTGGAAGATGGTCCACTTAACGCACAGGTGTAGACTAAATATTAATGACAAATGAATGAAAATTAAATTGTGAGTTTTTACTTCATATTTTAGAAATAAAAATGACGGGGGAACACATTTATGACGTCTTTTTAAACTAAGTTTTCTAGCGCGACCTGCCTGCTTCACTTAAGTCACTGCTTATTAAGGTCCGTCCAGAATTACTGTGGGAAATGGGTAATAATGGCTCTTTGATGGGAATAGGTTGCCAACCCCTGGTATAAGATATGAGCTGGTAAAACAAAAATCCTCATCGGCAGGCATTTTTGAAAGTGGGGGGGACACAGCTTCCAATCACAAATTTTGCCGGGGACATGTCCCCGGTGTCCCCGGTTAAAATGACGCCTATGGGAACAGGAGAGGGAGGGGTAAACAGCGAGTGCATGACAGGGACCGGACTGATGCTGTTGAGCACCACCTCCTCGTTATTAAACGTGCAGGTGTCTCATTCTGTTCCGACGCTGCGAAGCGCAATCATTTATCAGGTCTATAAATAGTTTTTGCTCAGTAACAGACTGAAACTGTAGCGAAGTACAATACTTAGAAAAACACACTCAAGTGTACGCCTCTCTGTTATTTTATGAAATAAAATTAAAATTTGTAACATTTTCTAATGTTTGGCTCAAAAAGTTTTGCAGGTTTTCAGTGATAGGTTAGATTCGTTGAGCACCGATCCTTTTGTTTGTTATTTTGCCACTTGTTGCCGGACAACAGATCCTTTACGTTACGTGACTGCAGCAGCGTCCTTACGTTGCCGCTATGACGTCACGTAATTCACCCTATAAAAGGAGCTCAGAACCCACAGATTTTCATTAGCGTTCAGCAGTCGAGGCGATCGCATCACTAAAACCACTGAGTGTAAAAACGTTGTCAAACTCTCTCTTCATCATAAATAAAGGAGAAACAATGCCCACATTTATTGGAAAAGCACACAACTCGTCTTTCAAGGGGAATTCTCCCCAGAAACGAACAAACCTGATCTCTAACAGTGAGTCCATGGTTGGAAGAGGTGACGCTAAATTATCCCAAAATAAGACCAGAGCTCCTGTGAAGCCATATCCTGTAGGTAATGGGTATTTGCCTCCTTCTTCAGCCAAGAAGAACGCAAAGTCTCCAGCTACAGCGGAGAGAAAAAACGTAAAACGTGCAGAGATCTCAGCTGTGAAGCAAAGCTCTGGTGGAAAAGCCCCGATCAGCAACTCTCAGGCAATTTCTGCGTCTCCAGCGTCCCAAATCAGGAACCCACATCCCGGGAGGCGTTACCCAAAAGCTAATGGGTACCGGCCCCAATATTACCATCCAGCTAGGAGACACGCTTATGGTCCAGCTTCAGCGGCATGTGAGGAAACTGGGAGAGATCAGGCAGAACCGTCACAGAAACCTAAAAGGGTTTCTGAGGGCAAAACATACGAAGGAACACTTCAATTTGGCCAAAATCCTGAAGTTCGCCCAGTTGTATTTCAGCCCTTCCCTTGGTACTTTCCACAGAAGTCTAAAAGGGATCCTGAGTGCAAAACATACGAAGGAACACTTCAATTTGGCCAAAATCCTGAAGTTCGCCCAGCTGCTTCTCAGCCCTTCCCTTGGTACTTTCCACAGAAGTCTAAAAGGGATCCTGAGTGCAAACCTAAAGCACCAACCCCCCAAACCTCCAGTTGTCCAGACATTTTAGCCTAAAATCCAAAAAGTCAGCTAACAAGTAGAAGAGAGTCTGCAGAAAAAGAGAAAGGACTGGTCTACAGTAAACAGCGTCCAGCTGCAGATTATCTCTGACCTTGAGAACATTTGTCAACAGAAACAGAGCGGAGAAAGTTAGTCACCAAGAAAACGTTAGAATAAATATTAATTCTCAAGCAGCAGGTGGAAAAAGCCAGAAACCAAAATCCAAATGGAAAACGTTAGAATGGTTTAGTTCCAATATGCAGATTTCAGCCTGAGACAGGCTGTTATTGGCTGCTTTAGTGTAGCTTTATCTGCTATTAGATGTTATTACTTATAATAAATTATAATTTTATCCAATAAAAATAATAAAAAAAAAACACAACTAACTCTGCCAGAGTGTCCCTCTCTGGGTCACTTCTGCCGGTCCCAAGCCCGGATAAAAGAGGAGGGGTTGAAATTGTGACACAGATAAAACATTACATGAGGTATTCATTCATTTATGGTTTTAAACACATTTACATGAAGGAAGACATCAAGTGCTGCAGATGCCTGTTAA